CACTTAGCCTCTCTGGGGCTGTTTCTTCATCTATGAGAATAGAGAAATCAACACTTTATAGAGAGCTCACCCAACCCTAGCACTATAAACCCCATTTATATCTAGTACTCTAAATGCAGGACTCTAGCCCGGATTTTCTCCTGAGCTGCAGACTCATACCTCCAACAGTCTGCTTGAGGTCTCCTCTTGGATGTTTCAAACAAGCCCCAAAACAAACTCCTATGTTCCTCCTCTAGGGTTTCTCACTGAAGTAAATACATCATCATCCAGCCAAGTCCACTCAAGCTAAAAACCTAAGTTCCTTGATTCCTTTTCACTCACTTCCATACATCCAGTCCACCACCAAGTCCTGCAGACACTATTTCCAAAACATACTTCAAACTGGTCTACTTCTCTCCATCTTCGCCAATCCCACACTAATCCATGGCTCCATCACACCTGCCTCCTTCCAATTTATTTTCCACAGAGCAGCCAAATGTTTTAAAAACAAATCAAGTAGGGGAAGTTGTGCATGGTAGGGAGAGGGTGTATGAGAAATCTCTGTATCTTCTGCTCAATTTTATTTTTATTATTTTTAAAGATTTTATTGGAGAATTGGGGGAGGGGAACAGCGTTGGGGAATCGGGGAAGGGGAACAGACAAGTTGCTGTCCTTTTGTTCTTCTGTTTAGTTGTGGAGGACGTCGCTTCACTGGCCCATGTTGGTATTATCATTGTGCTCTTCTCCGGTGAGGCAGTCACTCACTGGCCACTGGATGGCCGCTCACGGCAGCTCATGGCAGCTTATGTCGGCTGCCAGCCACTCACGGCAGCTCATGGCAGCCCAATGCAGCCCCGCTGCAGCCTACGCCATCGCTGGCAACTCACAGCAGCCCAGCTCCAGGTTGAGCTGTTGTTCACCATCTTAGCTGTAGAGGGTGCAGCATCACTGGCCCTCAAGTGGGATCCGAACCGGAGCCCTGATGCTCAGAGCTGGCATCACAAGCCAACTCTTAACCAACATGCCACTCAGCCGGCCCTCTTCTGCTCAATTTTATTGTGAACCTAAAACCACTTTAAAAAACAAAGTTTAGGGCCGGCTGAGTGGCTCAGTTGGTTAAGAGCTCACTCAAGAGTGTGAGTTCTGAGCAACAAAGTCACTGGTTCGATTCACGGCCCAAGCTGAGCTGCCAACAGGTGGCAGGATGGCTCAGCTAAACAAACAAACAAACAAACAAAAACAACAAAGTTTATTTTGAAAAATAAATGAGGCTACATGAATCACTCCCTTATTTATTTATTTATTTACTTACTTACTTATTTCTTCACTGCTCCTTTAAAAAAAGAAAGCCCTGGGCCAGCCGAGTGGCTCAGCTGGTTAAGAGCTCGCTTGGGAGCACCAGCTCTGAGCAGCAGGGCTGCAGTTCGGATCCCACATTGAAGGACAGTGACACTCGCCCTCTACAGCTAAGATAATGAACAACAGCTCGACCTGGAGCTGGGCTGCTGTGAGTCACCAGCGACGGCGTAGGCTGCAGCGGGGCTGCATTGGGCTGCCATGAGCTGGCAGCCAGCGTGAGCAGCCCGCAGCTGGTGTGAGCTGCTGGGAGCCGCTGTGAGCGGCTGACCAATGACAGGCGACTGATTGCCTCACCCGGGAAGAGCGCAATGATAATACCAACATGTGCCAGTGAAGCAATGTCCTCCACAACTAGACTGAAGAACAAAAACAGCAATTTGTCTACCTGTCTGTTCCCCTCCCCCCAATTCCCCAATAAAATCTTAAAAAAAAAAAAAAAGAAAGAAAGCCCTTTTAAGACTTCCCATCACTCTTGGAATAAAATCCAGATTCCAAGGCTTTGGTTGATCTGATTCTGCCTAATTCACCTCCCCCTTGTTCACTAAACTTTTTCCTCTAATAGGCTCAAGTCTTTTCTGCCTGAAGGCCTTTGCACTAGCTGTTTCACCAGCCTAGAACTTTCTTCCCTCATCCCTTCATTTGGCTGTCTGTCTTCTCATCCTTCAGGTCACAGCTTAAGCTGGCAGTGTCTTCCTGACAGCCAAATTCTAGATTAACCCCCTACATCCTCCTCATCTCTCACATCAATCTGTGCATTTCCTTCATGGCTTTTACTGTATCTGTAAATAGCATGTATATCTATTTACTTACTTCAACGCCTCCTTTACTAGAATGTGAGTCATATGAGGGCAGGGATCTTGTATGTCTTATTCACCTCTACAGACCCAGCACCTTTTACAGCACCTGGCATTCAGTAGGTTCTCAATATGTTTGTTGAAGAAATAAATGAATATGCATATTTTATTGTAAACTACTTGAAATATTTTTAGAAGACGGAGTTGTTAACAAGCACTGTGATTATCATTACAATTACTGGTGCATTGTCTTCCTCACTACATGGTCAGAAAATGGTACTCAATAAATGTCAGTGAAATTAATTCAAATAGGGACTCTGTGGACTTTGAGAACAGATGATTCAGTATCATTAAAGTTGAAATTTAAAGAGATGGTTGTGTCTCTGCCTAATAGAACTTTCTATGATATCTGTGCTAAAACAGTATCCACTAGCCACATGTGGCCATTGAACTCTTGAAATGTGGCTAGCGAGACTGAAGAACTGGATTTTTAATTTTAATTAAATTTCAATAGCCATATGTAGCTAATGACTACTGTATTAGACAAATCAGAACAGTGTCAGGAAGTCTAGCCAGGAGGGAGTGCTTGGGGCCTGGATGGGTAAGGACTCAGTAGCAATGGGAAGATAGAAGACTGGATCTTGGGTCTTTAGAGCTAATCTAAGAGGTATGAATTTTACTTATGAGTCTTCAATGGTAAGTCCCTTAAAAGTTTTAAGCAGAATAGAGTATTCTATTAATTCATTCATAAATTTGCTTAATTAAGTTTATTTGTTAAATTCTCACCCTATTCCTATCCCTTCCCTTCTATAGGCAATTGTGCTATTATATATCTTTTTGTTTTTATGTATGCTGAGATGTGATTTGTTGTTTGTGGGAATGATCATTGTATATCTCATTCTGTTTCTCTAAGCACTCTTTTTCTCTAAGCACTGTGTTATTGAGATTCATCCATGTTGTCATAAGTATATCTAACCAGTTGCTTCTAATAGCTGCATAACACACCTTACTGTACTGTAGTGAGTACACTCATTACACCTTACCCATCACACTCTCAGCAATGGATGCCTAAGCTGCCTCTAACTTCTCACTTTCACATTTTCATGCATGTCTGTAAAAGAATATACCTGTAAAAGAATCTCTTTGGGTTGCATGCCCGGAAATGAATTGCTGGGTCATAGGGAATGTGTATATTTAATGTGCCTAAACATTGCGAGAAAAATCCATTTTATAAAGGTCTTTCTGGCTACTTCATTCACTCAGTCAAATATTTACTGGTCACTTGCTAGATGTCAGGTACACTCTTAGGTACTGAGAATAGAGCAATAAATAAGACAGACAAGATCCCAAGCTTACAAATTATAAACAAGAAAATATCAGGTACTAATAAATACCACAGTGAAAATAAAAGCGGTGGTAAGACAAAATTACTGGGAGGCTATTCTGCTTGTGAGGTACTTGGTGAAAAGGATTGGGGTGGTGGCAACCAAATAAGCAGAAGGCTATTGCAGTGGTGTAGGTGAGAGATGCTGATGGTGTGAACCAGGTAGGGGCAGTGGGGTCCATATCTCTGCATCAAAATATGGTGGAGCCTTTTACCAATACAGAGGATCCTGGAGATTTCCAGCTTGCAGTTGGTCATCATGGGTCTGGAGTTCAGGTGGTCTAGACTAGAGGCATAGACCGGGGAGTCATCTGTGTTTGGGTTGTTTATTGGTTTCCTAGGGTTACTGTAACAGTATCACAAACCTGGTGCTTAAAACAACAGAAATTTATTTTCACAATTCTGTAGAAGTCTGAAATAAAAATGTTGGCAGAGCTATCCTCTCTGAAGCCTTGAAGAGGATGCTTCCTTGCCTCTTCCAGCTTCTGGCAGTCCCAGGTATTCCTTGGCTTGCAGCTGTAGCACTTCAGTCTCTGTACTGTCATCACATGGCATTCTCCCTATGTGTCTGTCTTTACATGGCAGTTTCCTCTTATAAGGATACCAGTTATATTGGATTAGGGCCCACCCTAAAGACCTAACCTTGATTACATCTGCAAAGATCCTATTTCCAAATAAGGTCACATTCACTGGTAGGTACCAGAGGTTAGGACTTCAACATATTGTATATTCTTAGGGGACACAATTCTACCCACAATAGGTCACATGTGAAGCAGTAGGAGTCAATGAGCTCTCCATAGGAGAGGTTATAGAGTCAGAAGAACAAAAGAACTGGAGATTCTGACCTTTAGGTAAGTAAAAGACTGAGGAGCCCATTAAGAAGTATGAGAAGGAAATGGTCATCAGTTGCATCATCCGCCACACAGACAGAGAAACAAGGGCAAAAAAGTGCCCATTGAAATAAGCAATATGACAGATGTCAGTGTCTTTCCTGAATGCCAGGGAAGGAGCAGTGCTTGGGTAATGCAGACAGTCTTTCAAGAAATTTAGTTTGGGGCCAGCTGAGTGGCTCATTGGTTAAGAGTTGGCTTGGGAGCGCAAGCTCTGAGCAGCAGGGTTGCCGGTTCGGATCCCACATGGGTCAGTGATGCTGCGCCCTCTACAGCTAAGATGGTGAACAACAGCTCGACCTGGAGCTGGGCTGCCATGAGTTGCTGGCGACAGCGTAGACTGAAGTAGGGCTGCAGTGGGCTGCTGTAAGCTACCATGAACAGCTGGCAGCCTGCATGAGCCGCAGTGAGCTGCCGTTCAATGGCCGGTGGCTGATCTGCCTCACCTGGGAAGAGTGCAATGATAATACCAACATGGGCCAGTGAAGCAACTGTCCTCCACAACTAGACAGAAGAACAAAAGGACAGCAACTCGTCCGTTCCCCTTCCCTGATTCCCCAACACTGTTCCCTCCCCCAATTCCCCAATAAAATCTTTAAAAAAAAAAGAAAAAAAGAAATTTAGTTTGAAAGGAAAAGCCTGACATATGGAAAAAACTCAAGGAGATGTGAGGCCAAGAGATTGTTGAGGAAGAAGGAAAAGCGTAGTCCCAGCACAGTGGAAGGAGGTTAGTGACTTAGAAGTTAAACTCTGGAGTTAGGCTAATCTGCATTAGAATCCCAGTTTAGCTTGTTCCACAGAGGTGTGAGTTGGCTGGTTGCTTCACTTTATGATACCTCAGTTTCCTTATCTGAAAAATGGGGATAATTATCATACTATCTACTTCCCAGTGTTGTTGTAAGGACTAAATGACTAAAGAAGGCATCTAAAGTGCTTAGCACAGGGTGTGACACATAGAAAGTGCTCAATAAATATTACCTCTTACTGCTATTAGGTTAAAAAATAAGTCAAGGATGTTTCAAGAAGGAGGCGGTAAATAATATTAGATATGATAGATAGGACAAAGAGGTAGAGGGTAGAGAAAAGGTCAAGGATTTGGCAAAGTGCTAGCAGAGCCTGGAAAGAGGAGAGGACACAGGTAACATCAGCTGATGAGATGACGGAGGCTGTAGATACTATGGTACACTCTCTCTGTAGTAGTTGAGAAATAAGAGAGTAGGTAGTAGAAGACAGAAGTAAACTAATTTGGGCTGCAACGAGAAAGTTGGAGAGAAAAGTTCCTGGGAGTATTTAGTTCTAGGGGACAGAGGTGAAACTACCTTTTAAATCTTTCAAATATTATCTCAGTTTGATACTACAAATCTCCACCTTTGCTGTGCTAAGCCTGGGCATCCAGAAGAAACTGTTTTACAAATGAGAAATGGGCACTAAAGAATGATCCTTTGTGGGTATGTGGTGACATAACTCCACAAGGAGCGGGTGGAAGGGAGGGAAAAGAGGAGCTGAGACATGGCTTGTAAAGTTTCAGAAGCCCGAGGAGCAACTGGCTAGAGAGTGCCTGGCTCAGAGTCTGATGGGAAGGACTCAGGGCTGGAGACACAGGTTAAAGAGCCATTAGTATAGCAAGTGGTCAACAAAAGAAATGGAAGAAATAAAATGACCTACTGATAGCAGGTGGCCGCAGAAGACAGTCCAGGAAAGACTGAGGCTGGTGAGGGGGACAAGCTGCAAAAGGAGAGGTATGAGGGCATGGGGGAAGGTTGGGCAGTGGAAGCTGCTATAGGTAAATTATCTGGGTGGAGTTGAAAGAGAACCAAAAACCATCCACTGAATGTCTCAATTAAGAAGGGACTGCAGATCATTGCTGGAGCAATTTCAGTGGCATGGTGGGGTAGAAACAGGATTTGGGTTGGTGGGGTGTGAAAGAGAGATGAGGAAGTAGAGACAGTAAAGACTGCTTTCAGTAAGTTTGGTGTTAAATTGATGGAGATAGTTTGATAGGGCAATAGTTAAGGAGGCAGTTTTTTTTTGTTTTTGTTTTTAACAGTGAACAAGATAGACGAGACAACATCAGCTGAGCAGGAGCAAATGGAAAGAGTGATGGAAAAGAAGGAAGCCTTTTAGCTAGAATGCTGGGAGCCCTCGTTACCTATAGCACATAAAAATATTTAAATAACCAAAAAGTTACATGCATAAACCCTTCAACTGAACAGGAAAATTAACTGCATCTCTCTGTGGCATCTGCTAATTCTTATCCATGGGGATAGAGAGTATGTAACTTGTGTGTACACATAAGTGTTTCATGCTTTGGAGTTGACCAGAGTACTTTTCCCTGCAGCGTACCCACCCCTGGTCTCCTGACCAATTTTTAATCTTACTACAAACAGGGCTTACTCTTTCCATGCGCTTCCTCTCATCTCACCTGCTAACCTTATAGTTAACCAGTCCATACCAGAGCTCCCTCTGTACCGTCCATTTGATTGTTGCCAGGGTCACACTGTAAGCTATCTTGCTTGCCTTCCCCCAGCCTTGGTCTCCTGCTTCTGGCATCCCTTGATCTCAGGGCTGGGAACAGATAAATCGGTCCTTAACAGTCTAAGAGAGGGTGGTCAATACCTGTATCCTTCACCGCCTGGCCTAGTGATTTAGTTTTCTCATCTTTTCTCTTTTTCTGTCCATTGTGCCCGATGTCCTGGGAAACAGAATCCTCAACTTCGAAATCGTCGGAGTGGTGGGGTGAGAGGGCCAGACGATTGAAGGATGGTCAGGAAGCGGGTGTCCGCGGCACCCAGGAACCGCCGGGAGAGGGCGCTCCGGGACAGGGATTGGAGACTTGCTGCAGCTGTGGCTAGAGAGCGGAGGCCAGGTCTGACTGAGGACACCGGGACTGGGGAAGCGCACGTGGGGCCGAGCGGCGCGTGGGGGCACATGTGCTGCCCTGGGGCACTCTGTCCTGGCTAAAAATACACGCTGTCCAGCGCCGGCCGAGTCCTCCCGGGGTCGTGAGGCGGCACTCTGGAGGAGCTACTTCTGGAGCTGTATTATTCTGGGAGGGAGTTTGCGGCTCTCGGGCCGGACCTCCCAGACTCCCGAGAAACCCAAGGCAAGCTTCGCACCGGCCGCCGTCTTTCTCCTCTGTGGAATGGGGGCCACTCATTATTCAAGAAATATGGAGAGCCTATATTGCACCTGGCACTGTTCCAGGCGTCAGTCATAACCACCAGATTCTTATTACTGTGGAGTTCACAGTCTAGCATTGCGGAGGGGGGGGGGAGAATAAAGAAGCAAATGAATAGGATACTGTCGTATTTTTAAAAATGCCATGAGAAAAATACAGGATGATGTGATAGGAGTGATACGTAAGCTGGTGGTACTTGAATGAGTCACTCTGAGAGACACGGAGGACACATCCAGGAAGAGGAAACCACCTGTGTAAAAGACCTTCAGTCCGAAAAGCCTGGGCAGTTGGAGAAAATATAGAAGGCGAAGGGAGCGGCCAGTGAGCTGGAGAGGGAGACCCACCTGGCGGGAGGCCACAGCGCCCAGCACGATGGACCCTGAAACTAATATCTAAAGTGGTAGACATCAGAATGGTAGTTTGCCAGGAGGCTGGGATTGCCTGCAAGGGGCTCGACGGAACTTACGAGGAGGGCAAGGGAAAAATACCTTGATTAGGGTATTGACTACCTGGATGAATGAGTTTAATCAAAACTGAGCGAAGAGTTGTGCATTTTGTTATGTGTAACTTTTACCTTAAAAACAAAAGTGAGAGTCCCCGACTTGTGAAAGCAACCATGAGCTGGGAAAGTCGTTCTGCTGCGCCTTCCAGCATGCTCCGTGGGTAGAAACCGCAGGCAGGGTCGAGGGGCATCCTCTGGAGAGGGGGTGGGGGCGGGCTGGAAGAAAGCGTCCACACCCGGTAGCGTGCCGGCCGGTCGTCTCGAGGGGGCGGTGAACCGTCCCACTTACAGCCAGAACAGAGGCTGCGGAGTCCGGGCCCCCACCCAGGTTGTTAGGGGCAACCTTGGAGCGGCGCCTCCCCCGCCCCGCCCTTAGCACAGAGGCCAGGTGGCGGTTGGGGCGCCACCAGCCCGTTTGATTTCCCGCGGCCGGTGGAAAGGGGCGGAGGGGGGAGGGGAAAAGGACCGTCGGCCAATGGATAGGGCTGTGAACTGTCACGTGACAGTCTCAGGGCGGGGCCCAGGTGTACTTACGGGACTGCGGGAGGGGGCCTAGGCCTCGGCGTGAAGTTCGGGAGGCGGGGCCGGCGTGCGGGCCAGGGAGCTGCTTCGCTAGGATTGGCCTGTGGCCGGGAGGCGGGGTCTGCGCGTGCCGCAGCTGCGGGCTGCGATTGGCCTCGGTTCAGCGCCTGCTGCCGGCGTGCGGACGAGGCTTGGGGCGCGAGGACCGAGCCGGGCGGCGGGTTCCCGAGCCGGGGGGAGGGGCCGGGGCGGTGGCGGCGGAGGAGGTGGCGGCGGGGGCCGGTACTGAACCCGGCGGGATGAGCGAGGTGGAGGCGGCAGCGGTGGCGACAGCGGCCCCCGCGGCGACGGTGCCCGCCACGGCAGCAGGGGTGGTAGCGGTGGTGGTACCGGTGCCGGCGGGGGAGCCACAGAAAGCAGGCGGCGGGGCAGGCGGCGGCGGGGTTGGAGCCGCCTCGGGGTCCGCTGCTGGATCTCCCTCGGCGCCAGGCCCCCGCAACCCTGGCAACCTGGCGACGGCGGCCTCAGGGACCCCCGCACCCCCAGCCCGGAGTCAGGCGGAAAAGCCGGTGCTGGGTGAGGGGGGCACGCGTGCCAGGGCGGTTCTAAGGGGTCTCGGCGGGCTGGGGGAGGGGCATCGTGGAGCTGGGCGAGGTCCGGAAAGTCAAAGGTGGGCCTGGTCCGGAGACTCAATGGACTAACTGGGCCTGGGGGCAGTGGACCAAAGTAGGTTCCCCTGGTGGGAAATTCTTCCCGGGAGGGAGGGCGTGGTCGGCAGGTACAGCTAGGGCCTTGCGGTGGAGGGTAAACCTCAGGGTCTGGCCACGCCCCCGGGGCAGGAGACTTGGCCTAGTTGACTTGGGTTAGTACTAGGTAAATCTCTAAGCCCGGGAAGCAGGTGCACTGGGGACCCTTACGTTAAGAGGGCTAGAAAAGCCCTCAGGCGGGGCTTTGTGGACCAGGTAAGTACTGGGTTCTAGGTGAAGGGCGTGGATTTGTAGGCATGAGGACCATGCCTTAGTGTTGGAAAGGTTTTTAAAGCCTGAACTTCGCTGTGTGGGCACTTCCACTTGAAGTTAAGTTAACTAGGTAATAGGGAGGTAGGTTAGATTTTGGAGTGTCTCAAAACTGAGTCCAAATCCATCTCTTCCCCCATCTTACCTGACTGCATCTCTGCCTGACAGCAATCCAAGTCCTGGGCACTGTCAAATGGTTCAACGTCCGGAATGGTTACGGATTCATCAACAGGTATATGAGAAACCCAGGGAGGGGGTGGAATGGGTGTCTTCCAAACTGGCCTGTGGGATTGGACACCTTCCCAACCTCATCTCTACCCCTGCCAAGGCACATGGTTGCAATGTCCAGCTGATGCTGATTGAAAGTCTTGAATCGCAGCACATATGTGGGCAAGATGAAGCCTCCTCATCAAGGGCAGTGGAGGGTTAACGATCTAGGAAGTTGGCAAACCTGGGTCTGACCCTCCCAGCTCCTCTGTCTCACCTTCTGGTTTAGTTTTCCTCACTTTTGGGGCAGAATGTACCGCTCTCTATGCCCCAAGGCTCTGGCCTCACTCATTTCCTGTTTCAGACAGCACACATAGCACTCTCATAGCTCATCTCCCTTGGAGAGCTGTTGGCTCATTTGAACCCCCCACCTGATGGGACTGATGCCTGTGGGGGTTGGGGAAGGAGCCAGTCTAGGCTTTCTTTCTCTTTGGCAGCCCCACCCACTCCCAGCACTGGGAGGGGCCCTAGTGGCCCATTCTGAGCAGAGCCAAGTCTCCCCCTGTGGGCCCTTCCCCAGCCCTGGGCACTCTGCCCAGCTCAGCCCTCCTGGGAGGCCCTCATTCCCTCTTAGCAGGCTGACCTTTGTGCAGATCCAAGTGCTTTAAAGTTAGAACATTTGTTCTAGGGAAGGGCCCCTCTCTAATTCTGGAAACTGAGGACTCCTGGAAGGTTCTGAAGGAAAATCCCTCCCCTCCCCCACATTGGGATATAGGATAAACTTGGGCAATAGGCAGGTAGTGATAGAGAATGATCAAATATTACCCTTGATCACTTGATGTATTGAAAGGGGTCTGACCCTGGGGTTCACCTCCAGGCTGAGGCTGAGAATAAAGTTTGGGTGCTATTTAGAGCAAGTTCTTGACACACTGTCCCAATCTCAAACTTGTCTGCACCTTTCCCCTTGTTCCCACTTTCCTGCTCCTTCTTGACTATAGGAGGAAGGAGACTGGAGCAGAATTTTCCAATCATGATGGCAGTTGGGAAGAGGGGGCGTTGACCAGGGACAGTTACAGCCAGCACTGCCAGTTCCTAACGGGTGGAGGGTAGAGTGCTCAGGTCCTGCAAGGTGAATTTGACTTCCCGCTCCACCTTTTCCTCATGAAGCCCAGGTTTTCCACCAAATTTTAGGTATACTTCATACCAGCTTCTGGGCACCCTGTCTATCCCCAAGCAGCATGGAAGGCTGGAGATGTGCCTTGACCAATTTTAGGAATGGGCAGCTAGGGAAACCTCAGGGGAGATGAGCATCTCACCAAAGTCACTCCCTAATGACCCATCTTGTTCTGCAGGAATGACACGAAGGAGGATGTCTTTGTTCACCAGGTAAGAACTAGGTTGGCTTTCTGAGGGACCTGCCCTTTCTTTGAAGGCCTTTGTCATAATCCTTAGCAGCGCAGATCATGCTTCTCCAGCTTTTACCTCACAATAGCATGCCCACCAGGAAATAGTTTCCCTCCCCATCTGCATCAGGTGCCTGAATTAACTGCCCTTGGCCCCTCGTGTTGTCTCTAAGAAATGTATGTGCTGCCCTCTGGACATGGCATGCTCACTACCTACTGGGACCTGTTACCACAGGAATGAATCACAGGCAATGTTCACAGGCTAGAGACACTTGGGTGCAGTGGTTCTCAAAGTGTGGTCCCTGCACCAGTAGTAGCAGCAACAGCAGCAGTATCACCTGACATCCAAATTTGAAGACCCCCACCCCAGACCTACTGAATCAGTCAGACTTGGGGGAGGGGCCCGCAATCTTTTAACAAGCTCTCCAGGTGATTCTGATGCACACCACAGTTTGAGAACCACTGCTTTGGTGGAAAGAACGCTCAGTGGGAGTGAGGTAAGAAGCACAGTACATTTTATCCACTTTGCAATTTAAGACTGTCTCTGCTTTTTGTTTTGTTTCTGAGCTCATGCTTCTTGCTTCCCTTTTTGAAATTCCTGCGGGGTAGAGGGAGGAGGGAGTGTGTCCTTGGGACAGTGTAACTGCACTATTGTTCCGGAGGTCCCTAGTTTATGGCTTTTTCCCTACTAAACTCTGACTATCTTTTCCTTGCTTCACCCTCCAGCCCCAGCCCACAAGTAAAATGGTAAAAAGAATGAAACTGGGTGGTGGGCCCAACAGGGACGAGAGGCTCGGCTTGCTTATCTCACCTTTCTCATGGCCTTTCCCCTAACCAGACAGCTATTAAAAGAAACAACCCCAGGAAGTTTCTGCGCAGTGTTGGAGACGGGGAGACTGTGGAGTTTGATGTCGTGGAAGGAGAGAAGGTTTGGAGGCCTGCAGTGGGATATAGAGTTGACCAAGCTGGTAGGATGCTGGCTTGAAGGTCATCCCAGGCTTTGGTCCTTCTGAGGCCAGCTTTTCCACTGGCCCATTAGGCAAGACTATGTTCTCCCCCAGATTTTGTCATCTTCAACATTCTGGCTGCTCTAAAATGATGTCCTAAAGAATGTGTCCCTGTCATCACTCAGTAGTATCTGGGTTTCTTTGTAGTTCACCAAGCACTTCTATGTCTTCTCCACATGGGGCCCTCTCCCCTGGCTCTCTTTGAGTCAGCCCTCTGTAGTAAGATGGACAATTGCTGCCAGACCTTTTTCCATCCACACCCCCACCTCCAGTGTTAAACTCAGAGGGTTCAATATAGCTATTTCAAAAGGACAAGTTGCAGAGGTGGCCCCTCCTAGAAGGGTCCAAACATGCCATTGCCCCCTGAGGAAGGGTGGAAAGGATAGAAGTTAGAGGGGCTGAAGGAAAGCTGGAGAGGGGATTGAGCTGGAAGAAGGGGAAGACTAATGATTCGAGCCATTTTGGGAATATTGTACATTTGTTGTTGGAGCAAGTTCTCGCTACCTCCTTTCCAGGGTGCAGAAGCTGCTAATGTAACTGGGCCCGGGGGGGTGCCAGTGAAGGGCAGCCGCTATGCCCCCAATCGACGTAGGTTTCGCCGATTCATCCCCCGCCCTCGTCCAGCTGCCCCACCACCCATGGTGGCAGAGGTTCCATCAGGTGGGACGGAACCAGGCAGCGAAGGGGAGCGAGCTGAAGAACCTGGGCAGAGGCCCAGACGACGGCGCCCACCACCCTTCTTTTATCGCCGTCGCTTTGTGCGAGGCCCAAGGCCCCCCAACCAGCAGCAGCCTATAGAGGTGAGGGGAACTGGGAATGTGGAATCAACTACCCAACTGGGAGTTGGTGAGGAGAGAGAGCAGAGTACTCAGGGGAAGTGGAAGCGAGGTTTGGGAAGAGTTGTGGACACCTGAGTCCGGGGCAGCTGCTTTTTCCCCAGCTCACAGGGCCTTTGTATGTTCCCAGGGCACTGACGGGGTAGAACCTAAAGAGACAGCCCCATTGGAGGGGGACCAACAGCAGGGAGACGAGCGGGTGCCCCCACCCAGATTCCGGCCTAGGTACCGAAGGTAAGACTCCCTTTGCAGGGACTTATCTTCTCTTTTACCATCCAGTATTAGGGGGAGGCAGATAAGAAGGGGAAGAGCTAAGTTCTCAGATGAGCCTGAAGCTAGTGGTAAGGGGGGCTGGGTAGCTGAGAGATTACTGCATGGGGGGGGGCCTTGGAGAAACAGGCACCCCTGCAGCTGGAAGCCTGGCTCCTGGGGGTGGGGATGGGGACAGGGAAGCTGACTGGTTCACCTCTGCTGGGGGAGTCCTGGGAGGGAGGGAGGGAGGGAGGGAGGGAGGGAAGTGGTCTACACTGGACTACCTTCAGGGTCCCCACTTCACTCCCCAGGCCTTTCCGCCCCAGGCCACCCCAGCAGCCTACCACAGAAGGTGGGGATGGCGAGACCAAGCCCAGCCAAGGTCCCACTGATGGTTCCCGGCCTGAACCCCAGCGCCCACGAAACCGCCCCTACTTCCAGCGGCGAAGGCAGCAGCCCCCTGGACCCAGGCATCCCACAGCCCAGGAAGTAAGGACCTTTGACTGTCTTCTGTGGGGCTAACTTCCCCCTCTCCCTTCTTCCCCCTCTCGTTTCTGCCCTTTCCCCTTCCCTCTCTATCCCTGTTTCCCCCTCTCCTGGCCCTGTCCCCTTTCATGCAGCCTGACACCAAAGAACCAGTGTACTGTTGGGTCCACCTCTGGCAGGTACTCCCACCCATCTGGAAGCCCCAGCAGAGGCAGTCAAGCCTGTATCACCCCCTGCAGACTCCCCTCTCAGCTCTGTTTGGAGCCACAGCACCAGCTGTGGGATGTGAATTGGGGGAGGAATAGGAAGGGGCTATGGAAATGGGAAGAGAAAAGGTGGGAGAAGGTTGAAGTTGGGGGGCCCTAAAGAGCAAGAGGGCATCAACTGATCACCCCTGTTCTCTCTAGGCCTCAGCTCCCATCAATAGTGGGGACCCCACTACCACCATACTGGAGTGATTCCAACTCAAAGCACACCCAGAGCTACCACCTGGTGAGTGGCTGCTCCTGGGGGGAGAGGGGGAGCCAAGGGTGGGGGAACTGGGTCTTGATAAGTCCATAGTCATGACTTATCTATTTCTTTTTTTCTCTCAGGTAATCTGCCAGTTTTTCCAACTGACCTATACCCTACCCAGTAACCCCCTCCCCCCTTTCCCATAATTCATGGCATCAGAACACTGGCCTTTTCCCCTTTTCCTTGAGACTCAGGAGGGCCAAAGCAACAGCCTTTTGCTTTTTTTTTTTTTCTCTCTCTCCTCTACCAAGGTTGAAGGAAGAGATCTATCCTTTTTGTTCAGAGGCACCAACTCCCTCCCCTAAATCAGGCTGAGAAGGAACCAGCCAGCTATTAACTCCTCCTGGTTGTTTTTCTTTCCCATCCCAGTTTATTTTTTGTTTCCCTTCTATCTTTGACCTCTGAAGCCATTTTATGAACTGTCATGTGCCACCTGAGCCTCCAGTAAAAACAAAAACAGGCTTTCCTGTTGTCTTGGTCTCTGCCTCTTTTCTGTTTTGAGAATTGCTGGTAACCTGCTGGTGAAGGTGGGGAGGAGGAGGATGTGGGGTAGTGGGCAGGGACTTGTCTTGAATCCTTGTTCCCATGTTTCTAGGTGTGCAGCTCTGAACAAGTGCTTTCATCCCTGTGAGAGTCACTTCCCATCTGTAAAACGGGGATAATATTTCCCTTGCAGAATGCATGTTTTGTAAAGTGCTGAGAGCAGTCTGGCACTTGCAGCTACAACTTATTAGCATTTACTATTAAAAGCAATGACTAAAAATATAAGTGGGGGCATGAGTAACAGCATCCAGAGGATTCTTCAGCCTCAAGCTGAAGCAGGATGGGCGGGGAGAGAGGAAGTTATGATCCCTGTCTGAGTCTATCTTTGAATGCCTCCACGACAGGACGCTTGTCTCATACAGTGACTTTATATACGTATCTATATATTTACATTTAGTACAACAGACTTTCAGTTTCTTCTCCCTAACTCTTCTTTTTCAAACATATACAAAAATATCCCAAGGCTCCTCCCAGCCCAGTGTTTACAGGCAGCCTTTCAAATCCCTCTTTCCCTTAGTTGGTCAAAAGCCTGCGGGTACAACACCCTTCCAGGATGGGAGAGCAGGAAAGAGCTGGGCCCCCACTTGGCAGCCTTGGGAAGCAGTTGGGGTAGGGCCTGGAGTCCTAAGGCGGAGCTTGCTGTCCCTTCCTCTCATCACATATGGGCATGTGTTCCCTCTTGCCTGGAAGGTTGAGTGAGAAGACTGAGCGTGCTGTGAGAGAGGTGAGGTTAGACCTTGGGAGGGTGTGTCCTTTGCCATGGAGGGGTCAAAACAGACCCTTCTTCACCCATGTTCTATGTTGCAAGAATTCAGGAAAGTGCCAGAGAGTGAGAGGAGTCCAAAGTGGCAGGAAACCTCCAGTCCTGCTCTGCCCTGCTTTGTGCTTCAGTTAACCCCCACTAAAATCAGTCCTAGAGCCCTTCCTCCCTCTAATCCCTCTTCTCTCCAGGAGAGGAAAAAGTATTCTGGAACTTAGGCTGGGTAGGGGTGGGGATGGTGTGGACTATGGAGGAAGGAGGAAGGGGATCAGAGGGGAGAATGGCCCATCCCAATGGCCACAGTGTAACCACAACACATAAATAATCCAAGAGAATGAGGATCCTAGGGGAATGAGGGGGTGCTCCAACCACCTCTCCCTCCAGCTTCCCAATTCCACCAGGCTGCAGGGACTTTCTCTACCCTGGAAGTGATGGGGAAGAGAGGGTTAAAGTGCTGCAGAGGAAAGGAGGGGTCTCTGGGGACAGAACTGGCTCTCCCACCCCTGCCTGGCCCCTCAGTCATTCTCATCAGGCCCTAAGTACTCAAGTTCCGTGCTGGGCTTCACCTCCTGCTCTAAAAGAGAGGCTGTCCGGTGGAAGGCGGCTGAGATCTGGTCAAAGGTCCGGCCTCGGGTTTCAGGCACTTTTAAGAAGGTGAAGATGAAGAAGCCAAGCAGGAGGACCGCAAATAGAAGGAAGACGTAGGGACCCATAGCATCCTGGGACAGGCAGAGAAAGAGGTGTTGACAGAGAGGAAGGGGAGGGGAGGGGTGATTTCAGGCAAACAAGGAGCTAAAGTTCCTCATAAGGAGCTGTGATACTGCAGAAAGTAGGTGGCTCCTTTGCGGGGCAATGGAAATTACCAGGAATGAGAATTTAGTGAAAAAAGGATTCTCTGAACCCCAACTCTCCTATAGTTTTTTGCCCTCTTACCATCCTGAGTTACTGCACTCAGAGTGGATTCCCAACCGTTCGCAATATTAATATGAAGTTTATAATTAATTTTATTCCTAGTCTAAATAAGTTATACCACTAGTTTGTTTTGAAGACACCGCTGTTGCTATGTGATCTAGTTCAGCTCCCTTCTTTCCTTTGATTCTAGTGGAGCAGGTAGTCTTCAGGGCCCAGGTAGTCCAACAAAGTGATCTCCAGACCAGTAGTTTGTGGGCTGGGGGAGTACTTGACTGGAAAGCCAGTGGACTAGCTGTGAGTTGCCCCCTTCTGGCCTATGGTGTGGGAGATTGGGACAGGGGCAGGCCACCTACCGCAACATACTGGAAACCCATGCCGATGAGGAAGTTGCATGTCCAGTTGGAGAAACCAGCCACAGCCATGGCTGCTGGGCGGGGACCCTGGCTGAAGAGCTCGGCCACAATGAACCAGGGGATGGGGCCAGGGCCAATCTCAAAGAATGCCACAAAGCCGAAGATGGCCACGATGGAGACATAGCTCATGGCTGGAACCCGCTCCTGGGGGCCAGGCAGGGAGGGTGGGAATTCAGTTCAGGTCTTTCTGAATCTTCTTTTGCCCTTAACCCAGAGAACTGAAATCTACCTTTCCCAGTAGCTCATGGCAGGGAGGGCGGGGACTGCCACCCTAGGTTAGAACAGGCCCTTGAGCATTTCTGAGCACTGACATTCAGCTGGCTGCCCTATGCTGATTCAAGGCAGTGAGAATGTTACCGACTTTCAGCTATTAAAATGGTCAATTCCCCCTTGGTTCTAAAGCTGGGTCCTTAGGAATGATTGTTCCTGGGACTGGACAGTGCCTCTCCTTCCTGGTAGCCAGAGTTGTGCTTCAGTTTCTTTCCAGAGTGGGAGGAAGTACAGCCTGGGTTCCTCAGGAGCACAGACCATGGTCCTGGCACATGAGCTAGTCCCAGAATCAAAGGCACATATGTTGAGGCATGGCCCTGGCTGGCCACAGAGCCTCTTGGGGTAGTCCCCATGGATTGGTCTGCTGGTCCCCTTCCCACTTCCCAGGCCTCACCAGCAGAAGCAGAGCCACAGTCATCAAGATGGCGCAGCCACACATTCCCGCCAGGCCCAGGAGATGGAGTGTCCGGCGCCCAGCCCGTTCCACCAAGAATACCTAAGGGGAGAGTCAGGGCTTGGTGGGGTGGAGGAACTTCGGGCACAGGATATGGGACGGGTTGGGTGAGTGGAGACAACCAAGGGATGTGAAGCCAATGGTGAAGGCCATTCCAAAGGCCAGCAGTTACCGAGACCAAGGTGAAAACTGTGTTGACTACACCGGCTCCTATGGTGGCATAGGCTGGCTGCCCTACCCCTGCTGTCTCGAAGATGCTGGTCGAATAATAGAAAACCTAGAAGTGGAGGAGAAGAAAAGGGGATGGCAGGGATGTTTCATTCTCCCTAGAGCCACACCAAGCTGAACTGATCCTGAGTTTTAAGGGAGGGGACTTGTCCCCTTCCCTCCTCTTGGGCTATTCCCTAACCCTGCCCTTCCCGGAGGCTGCTGCATACATACAGCATTGATGCCTGAGAGCTGCTGGCTCAGCTGCAGCACAACTGCAATAACTAGGGGCTGCCGGTGGGTACGGCTGCCCAAGAGCTGCAGCAGGGACAGTGGCCGCTCGCGCTCCAGCTTCCGCTTCTCTTCCTTCAGCTCAGCCAGTGCTCCAGACACATCAGCCCAGCCTGTCAGGCGCTTCAGACCTGGAGGTAAGGAGGGTCAGGCCTGAGAGGGCAGGGAGAGGGTCTGGGAGGAGGATAGGCACTAGCAGGATGGGGTAGAAGCTCACTCTTTTTGGCAGGCCCCTCCAGGTTCCGGATGATATAGAGGTAGCGGGGGCTTTCTGGGCAGAAGGGCAGCAGAACGAGCTGCAGGAGGGCAGGCAGCACTGTGATGCCCAGGAGCAGTGGCCATAGGGTGGCAGTGCCCAGCATGGACTCCAAGCCTAGCACCTGTGGGAGAAGGAGGGTAGGCTATTCAGCCTGTTCTCCAGAGCCCCACCCCAATCCCCTGCCTATCCTCCCATGAGGCCATGCCCAGTCACCTGGGCAATCAGAATGCCAATGACGATGGCCAGTTGGTTGAGCGTCCCCAAGGCACCCCGCAAGTGAGTGGGGGCGATCTCCCCCACATACATTGGCACAAGCCCTGACGTCAGCCCTGGGCAGAAGGAAGAAGACAGGGCTGAGGCAGCTGCCCACTCCCCCCTGCCAAACCCAGGAATGGTGAAGGAGAGTTGGGCACTGGGCAGGGCCATGTGCCCGTAGGTACCTGAGTAGGCGCCAATGAGGAACCGTCCAAGAATAAGCATCTCATAGGAGGCAGCAGCATTGGCCAGGCCCATGAGGGTGCCTCCTAGCACTGCCAGGGTGTTGTTGATCAGCATTGCCCTCTTCCTGGCAGGCAGATAGTGGAGCTGTGAGAGTTAGGGTGCCAGTGCTATGGCTCCCTTCCTGTTCCCAACCCTTGTCCTCCAGCTCCATACCTTCCCAGCCACTGAGAGATGACACCGATGAGAAAGGAGGAGATCATGCCGCCCACAGAAAAGATGGCCACCGAGAGAGACCAGAGGGTGGTGAGGGTGCCTGGGGGGATGGAGCCTGGTCCCTGAGGCCCCTGCCTCGCCAGCCATGTCTCATTGTAGCTCTGTTCAATCACCTGGGGGGACAGCAAGGAGTGAGTCACTGTAGACCCTTCCCTCTCTGCTTACCCCTGCTGTACCCTGCCCTCCTTGTTTGGTCACCCCCACTCTGCCAGCCGCAGGCCCCTCACCTTCTGAGGGGCATTGATGACCCCAATGTTGTAGCCAAACTGCAGAGAGCCAAGCACAGCAGAGAATACGGAGAGGATCAGAGTCCCAGTGACTCGTTGCTGAGGAGGTTCCCCTTCCTGGGAAGGCAGAACAGAGAGGAGGCCTGTCACATAGAATCATAGTTTCTTTCCTTCCTCCAGGGGCTTGGGCCAGGGCCCAGCCAGAGCTTTATGATACTAGGTTCCATCCAACATATTGGGTGAGGGAAAGTGGGTAATATTGGGATCTGCAGGAAGATCTCCACGTAAATAGGAGCAGGAAGAACCCCACAGTAACCAGGGCATGGGGGAGAAACTGGATGTTTGAGTTCAGCCAGCAGAGAAATGTTTGAGGACCTAGGTCTCACAATTCGTCTGTGACCTTGGGAAGGGCTTGGCCTTAAGAGACCCAAGTTCAGAACTGTGTGACCTTGGGCAAGTCACTTCCCTACTCTGAACCTAGGTTTCCTTTAGGTTAGGGGAAATAGAGGGGATGTTGCCTGCTTTGCCTACCTGTCAGTGAAAGTGTGAAAATCAAAATCAAATGTTAACAGTATCTCTGATAGTGCTGGTTTTAGAAACTGACAAGTGCATTATCATCAGCAGCCGCTGTCTTCTTCCCTCCCCTTTGGGGGTTTTCTCAACTGGCTTCTGGAGGCCCACAACAGGCTCAGGAAGAGCAATTCCAAAAAGGACATCGCGGTCATTCCTCTCGGCCTATGGCCCTTGCGGTGGCCTTCTCTGTCTCCGCCCTGGCCTTCCCTCCCCCTCTAAACCCCGATGAAGGGCGGGGGGCCGTGCCGGGCTTTTGCCGGGGAGAGCTGTGCCCAGGGGATGGGGGCGGGAGGTGGTGTGAGGGGCGGTGGCGGTCGCTCGCTGCGAGCAGCAGTCACCAAGCAGAAACCTGAGCTGGGGACGGAGTGGGGGAGGGGGTTGCCACTCCTCTCTGCCCCTCCACCAACCGTGGGGCCAAGGGAAAGTTCAGCGTCCTGAAGAACGGCCAGGAGTGGGGGTGGGGGCCAACAGAGAGCCTCTGGTCGTCGAAAAATTTCCTGCGAGTCGGGACAGGCGGACCGCTCCTGGAGGCCAAGACCCGCCTGGATCTGCTTTCTTAAGCTGGATCGAGGGCAGGGTGTCCCTGATCCCGACGCAACGTGTGGTGTACTAAAGAAAGGGGCGAACCCTGGTCTCACAAAATCCAACTGTGGCCCCAGACCCACTCAGCCTCTTGTAGGGACTGGAATCGGACAGTCACGGGTTGTCCAGCCGGAGTGTAAATAGCCAGGCCCCCACTTCCACCCCCTGCGCCTGCGCAGGGACTGCCCCCTAGCTGACCCCAACTGCGACCCCAGCCCAAGTAAAGTGGGACCCGTGACCCCGTTCCGCCACCGCATGGTGAACCCTACTTCTGAGCCGATCTGTTGGAAGCCGGACGGCATCTCGTCTCAGGAGCTGGAGGCACAGGAGCTGCAGTTAAGGAGAGGGAGGAGACTGGGGGGTCTGCCGTTCGGCCTGACGAGCAGCGGGCGCGACGGGGATCCCGGTGCGAAGTGCGGAGGGAGGGTTAAGCGGACCCACAGCAACAAGCCAAGGAGCCCGAGAGCGGCAGGGCTCCGGAGGATCTGGTGAAGCCAGGCTGGGGGGAAAAGACCCGAGGAGCCCCCTCATCCCCCACGGGCCACGCCCTTCACAACACCCATTGGCCAGGAGCCCGCACACCCCAGAAGACCACGCCCCCTTTCTAAGCCTGAGGTTTAGAATTTGGCACCAGTGAGTTATTGGGTGGACCAGCGAGGTCACGCCCCTCATGTTCCCGCCAGCCTCTCGCTGGGAAGTTTTGAGAAAAATTTCTTGGAGTATAGAAGGTCTCGTCCCCTCCGTGTGAAGACTCTGCCCACCAGCCAAAGTTTGGGGCTGAAGAGGTGACTTAAAAATCCTGCGCTGCAGGTCGGGAAAGCGAGGTCTGAGAGGAGGGTATACTCACCAGGGAGAGAACTCGCGCGGCCTGAGACTGCATATGAGCCGTCGCGCTGGGTGCGTGAGGAGCAATGGCCTAAAGTAACCCACGGCGGTTATTTTTAGCTCCCACGTTGGGAGACGCCAAATGTCAGGTCCCAGGTGTCCCGGCCTGTCCCGGGTGGGGGAGGGCCTGGAGATGGATCCTTAAAGGGTCCGTGACACATTTAACATGCGAGGGTGGTCGTGGGGGACAGGAAATTCCGTTCCTAGCGGGTCGAGTGTGTCGGCTTGGTGGCCCTCTTTCCATGCATCCCTGTTCTGGGGGGGCACAGCCTATCTGGGCCTTCCCCTACTCCCGTTCCCCACCTTGGTTCTTGGAGGCGGCCCGAGGGACAGTGGTCACACCAACCACGCCACCAGCCCTGAGGACCCTGAACCGCCACGCATGTACTGGGCTGTGTGGATGATTTGGACATGCTCTCTGGAGGCCGCTCAGGGGTTGAATCCCCAGCTAAATCCTGAATGTCCAGAGAGAAGTGGAACCCTCCGATTATAGAGCACGTGCGGCTCAGAAAACAGGGCTCAGAAGCGCGGGGCTCTAGTGCCACCTGGAGGGAGAGCGAGGACCCGCTTGCGGATGGGACCAAGGTAGTCTCTGACCCACTGTCCCAGGCCAGTCTACCTCACTTGAGACTTCCCTTACATTCAACCCCCGCCTCTTTCTGGAGCTTCAGAACAGAGTGTACAGCTACCGCCTGGATGGAGCAGCTCACAAGATCAGAATGTCCAAACCTGCTCCTCCTAACTTTGTCTTCCCAGTGAATGGTCTCACCCTGTCACTCCTATCAGAATCCTGGAAGTCATGCTTGATTCTTCCTCTCCTGCAGCCCCCTTTATCCAGTTAGGTACAAACGCTGGTGTTTTTACCTCCTAAACTCACATTCATCTGATTTTCTTCACCTCTCCTGCTGCCAGTTTGGTCCAGACCACCATCATCCTGACTGGTCTTCCTGCTCCTCTTCCCTTATACAGAGGGAAGAGTACAATACAAAAAAATTCAACCTCATCACTCCTGCCCCAAAGGTCACTGGCTGTTTGTTGTCCCCACTGTCAAGTTCAAACCCCTTTTCAGAAAGAACAAAAACTCCTGCCTTTTCTCTCTGGTCTCTTCCTGATTTTCTAATGTCTCCATTCAAGTTTTAGTCAATACCTAACTACCTCTTGTGCCCAGAACACGCAGTGCTGTTTTATCCCTTGATGTCTTTGTTATATTAATTCCTCAGTCTGGAATACCTGAGGATTCCTGTTCATCCTTTAAAAAAGCTCAACCCCTCTGTGAAACCTTCCTTAGCTTTCCTTCAGAAATCCATGTGTCCCCAATGTCATATATTATCATCATTTCTTCTCTGTATTTCAATCTTGAGGGCAGAAGTTCACCTTGTTTACCTCTATCTCCAGCACCAGCCTAAGAGTGGGCACTCAGTAAATGTTTGTTGAATGAATGAAACGAGGGTCTTCTCCTGATAGCCAAAAACACAGATTGGGGAGCAATCACAGAGGAGAGAACCAGTTGGTAAATGGCTCCACGTATCTGACTAAGAGGGTGTAGATGAAGAACTAAGGTCTGAACATTGAGGAGAACCAATCATTTATAAGCAGAAAGGAACACAAGCAATTGACGGATGCAGAGAGAGAGACTGATCAGGGAAAGAAAAAGGATAACCAGGGATGCTGGAGTACCACAAAGGGAGGAGGGCAGGGAGAGCAGAAAAGCAGAGAAAGGTGCTGCGGAGAAAAAAGGAATTAGGAGGAGGCACAGGTTGGGGACAGATTAAAAGTCAGTGTAGCTGGAGTGCAGGGCTGGGGTCTAGCACCCTCGGGTCTGTCCTGCCACTCAGGGTAAGGCACATTCTTGCTCTTATTCAGATGCTTTGTTTCTGATGCTTCTCAAAGATTCTTCTAGGAGTTTAAACCCCAGGGAAAGCAGGATCAAGGAAAGCAAGTCATCTAGATATTAGGAGATAGAGTAGTTTAAAGAGTGTGGAGAAGTGATGGTGAAGTAGAAGAGGAGACAAAAGAAAAACAAGGAGAGGCAAAAGAAAAATTGGGAGGGAGAAAGAAAAATGGCATGAAGACGGACGAAAGATGTTGACTGATAGAGGGTTGAAAAGGAAGGAGAGAGACTTATGACACAGTATGTGTCATTGCATTGGAGCGTGTGTGTGTGTGTGTGTGTGTGTGTGTGTGTGTGTTTTGATTTTACATAGTAATCCTTGGTCCTTGTGATCTCAGAACCAATTATAGCCCTTCCTAAACTCTGTCCTATATCACGGGGAGCTAAACCCTGCAAGCTTTTGTTTTCCAAGCTCCTGTGCTCACTGCCTTCTGACTCGGTTCAGCCCATGGTAGGTAAGAGATTGGAGGGCAGGAGAAAGTCAAGGTATCCCCTCACCCCCACCCACCACCCACCCCTGCCCCCAGCCCCCCAGCTCCTACCCTTCAGGCCCTCTGTTTCTAGATTCTGGAGGGAAACCTTGACTCCTGAGCTCCAGCAATGTTATCTCCTTTTTTTCACTGTATTTTGTCTATATATTAGGGTCTCAGGTGTGGAGGATTGAATTAATGACACAGTTTTTGGTACATTGTCTTCATTAATCTATGTCTTATTTTTATGTTTAAAACTATTCTTTCTTATTTCCATACCCATTTCTCGTTTGTCCTCCCTCAAAGAACAACCATTCCAATGTCTTTTTTTGTTTTTTAAGCTGAGCCATCGTGCCACCTGTTGGCAGCTCAGCAGCTGCTCAGCTCGGGCCAGGAATCGAACCGCTGTTGCTCAGAGCTCAAACTCTTGAGCGAGCTCTTAACCAACTGAGCCACTCGGCCGGTCCCCAAGTTCAGTCTTTAGTTGCAGGTGGGTGTAGCCACCATCTCGAACAGGCAACCTTGTTGTTAGGAGCACGTGCTCTCACCATCTGAGCCATCCTGCCACCTGTTGGCAGCTCAGTGGCAGCTCAGCTTGGGCGCATCTCCCTGGCCCATGTGGGAGTCGAACCGGTGACCCTGTTGCTCAGAGCTCACACTCTTGAGCAAGCTCTTAACCAACTGAGCCACTCAGCCGGCCCTCCAATGTCTTTAATGCTCATTTTCTGTTTGTGCTCTTGCAAAATATGAATTGTTTTGTGTACAAACATTTTAAATTGATGTAAATGCATCTTGTTATAGCTTTCATTCTGATCTGACTTATTTTCAGTAAGCACTATGTTTTAAAAACTCATTCATGTTCTGTGATTATCAGATTTATTGTTGCATAGTACTCCATAATATCAGTCACATCACGTTGTACTTGCTCACAATCCCACTGGTGAGCACCCATGTCACCTCCAGTTCCCAACCACAGCAAATAATGTGGCAATGAACATTTTCATACAAGGCTCATTATGCACACCTGTGAAAACTTCTTTGAGAGATATATCTCTGCTTCTGCCTATGTCTGTCTTTATTTATATCTATCTCTACAAGTGGAATTGCTGAGTCATAGGGTATACTTATACTTAATATGACTACGTACTACCAGCTTGCTGTTAAGAATGACTGTGCCAGTCTCCACTTCCATTAGTAGTGTGGAAGCGTTCTGCTTCCACCATACCTTCTTTAGTCATCATCCACCCAGAGGCAGCATAGGTAAGAGTATGGACTCTGGGCCCAAACTGCCTGAGTTTGAGCCCCAGCTTTGTGATACTAACTTTGTGCCCTTGGGAAAGTTACCTAAGCTCTTTGTGCCTTATTTGCTTCATCTGTAAAATGAGAAGGGAGATAATAATAGTATCTACATCTTAGGGTTTTAACGACAGTCAATAATGCAATACTCATATAGCACTTAGAATAGGTTGAACTTAATGAAGTTTTCTTTTTTCCCCCTGTTAGGAACAGTGCAACCAGCAGAGTTTGAAATAGCTTTATTTTTATAAAGTAGGCGCTGAAGAGTAAGGTTTTTTGTTTCAGTTTTTAAAAACAACTTTAGTGAGGCATAATTGCCAAACAATAAACTGCACATATTTAAAGTGTACAATTTAAGTTTTGACATATGTATACACCTGTGAAACCCTACCAGTAATCAAGATAATGAACATATCCATCATTCCCCGAAGTTTCCTTGTACCTCTCTGTAATCCCTCCCTTCAGCCCTTTCCCCATCCCATAGGTAACCACTGATCTGCTTTCTCTGATAGACCAGTTTGTATTTTCTAGAATTTTATGTAAATGGAATCATACAGAATGTACTTTTTTGGTCTGGCTTCTTTCACTTGACATAATTATTTTGAGATCCTCTATGTTGTTGCAAGTATACAGAGTTCATTCCTTTTTTATTATTGAATATTATTGATTTGATTATCAATAGTAATCAGTCTGGTTATTCATTCACCTGTTGGTGGACAGTTGGGTTATTTCCAACGTTAGGCTATTACAAATAAAGCTTCTAGGAACATTTAGGTACATGTCTTTGTATGGCTACATGCTTTCATTTTTCTTGGAAAATACCTAGAAGTAGAATGCCTGTATTGTATGGTAGGTGTATGTGTCACTTTTTGTGAAACTGCCAAACTGTTTTCCAAAGTGGTTGTATCATTTTACATTCCCATCAGCAGTGTATGGAGTTCTAATTCCTCCACACCCTCACCAACATTTAAGATGGTCAATTTTTTTTTAATTTTAAAAACAATTTTAAATTAAATTTATTGGGGTAACATTGGTTGATAACATATAAATTTCAGGTGTACAACCTTATGATATGACATCTGTACACTCCATTGTGTGCTCACCACCTGAAGTGTAGTTTCCTTCCATCACCATATATCTGATCCCCTTTACCTTTAGTCCTCTCCCCACCCCTC